AAACTTTGATTTAATTTATTATAAAAGAGATGTGAAAATTAATATGAGTATTAAAAATTAACAAGAAGATCGAAATAAACTTTGATTTAATCTATTGTAAAAGAGATGGGAAAATTAATATGAAATGACAATCGGTCTGCGTGGTGAGTTGGTTACTGCCATTTAGCCAACACGAAAGAAAAACTTTGTCACCTAATTCAACTACTTGTACGGAGATCCTACGATTGTGAAACTTTGCTGTGAAGGGTGGAAAAGGCTTATTGGAAGGAGGAACCCAGAGTGCCGATGTAGCAGCTACCGCGGCCGACCCTGCACCGACGCCTGTACAGTAAGTTAGTTTAGTTTATTTAATTTTTTTTTTGTTTGTTTCCCCAATGCGTGGCTAAGCGCGCGCTGCCACCGCTGTGGCTGGAAAAAGGGGAAGGTGTGCATATGATGGCACGTTAGGGAAGACTCCAGACGGTGACAGACGGACGCTAGACAACCGACGCGACGTTTCCTTTATTTGTGATTTTTTTTTATTATTTTTTTCTTTGTCTAAGAAAAAATTTAAATCCTCAGCGGCGAGGAAAGAATAAGAGTTTCATGACAATAGTTATCTTAAGCGCAGTTTAATAAAAACGCTTTAGTTTCTTTTGGTGTTTTGCACTTATGTCCTGATATAATAACGCCAAACATAATCCAAGTTTACGATGTAATTACGACTAAGGTTTATACCCTCCATAAACCTGTCATAACCACACGTTCGCAACAAGTTGCCAAAAAGTGGCTTAATTGACAAAGTTCATCTTCAATTCGAACGTGCAATATGAAGTCAGATTATTTATTAGGTAGATCATGCTTCTGACGCTATGATGTCCATTTTGGAAACAGACATTCATTCCGTAAATATATAAATAATTTTTTTTCTTAGAATCCAATATTGTTCGTATTACAATCAATTTTTATTATATTGATGTATTTCACTGGAAAAGTAGGAGTTCGACAAATGTATAAACAAAAAAGTGCTATAGCCAATTCTTCCTACATTTTTCAGCGCGATATTTAGTGTAAGAGAATGGCAGTTCTCGTGTCTATTGTGAATAATTGTTTTATGTCATTCCTGGTTGAAAGCAAGCAGCTGATTTTATATCACGGCATTTTGCTGTCAGCAGTCGAGGGCGTCAAAGAAGCGAAGACATTTAATTGCCGTTAAAATCTGAAGAAACTATCATAAATATGAAAAAAAAGGTTTGGACGAAGCTTACGAATAAGGAAACAATATTATTGCGAATATTTTAAATAGGTATTGTTAATGGGTAAAAGTGGGTCTGGGAAAACAAGCATGCGTTCGATCATATTTGCAAACTACATAGCAAGAGATACAACCCGTCTAGGAGCCACGAGTAAGTATTTGATAATCCTGCTTTGCGATTAAAATAAAATGCAGGATTATCTTTTGTCTAGTTGACGTCGAACACTCACATGTGCGGTTTTTGGGCAATTTGGTTTTAAATCTCTGGGATTGTGGTGGCCAAGAGGGTTTTATGCAGCAATATTTTGCCTCACAACGTGATAATATCTTTCGCAACGTGGAGGTTTTGATTTATGTGTTTGACGTCGAAAGTCGTGAGTTGGAACGTGACGTACATTATTATCAATCATGCCTCGAAGCTTTGCTGCAGGTAGGAATGTCAAATTTCAAAAACGTTTTTACTCCTGCTCTTATCCCTTCGTTTTCCAGAATTCCCCGGATGCTAAAATTTTCTGTTTAATTCACAAGATGGATCTGGTCGCCGAAGAGCAACGCGATAGCTTATTCAAAGATCGTGAAGAAGATTTAGTGCGCCTGTCAAGACCGGGTAATGTTACTTGCTTTAGAACTAGTATATGGGACGAAACTTTATACAGGTTGAAAGCAAAAGTACCACATAAAGAATATTGTATTGAATTCTTTTGTTTGCCGCTTTTGCAGGGCATGGTCTAGCATCGTGACCATGTTAATACCTAATGTTGCCGCCTTGGAAAATTCTTTAACACATTTTGCCAATGTTATAGAGGCAGACGAAGTTTTGTTGTTCGAGAAGGCCACTTTTTTAGTGATATCGCACTGCCAAAGTAAAAAGAATCGCGACTCTCATCGCTTCGAAAAAGTTTCGAATATCATCAAACAGTTTAAATTAAGCTGCAGTAAATTGGGTGGAAAATTTCATTCAATTGAAGTTCGCAATAGCGCGTTTGCCGCTTTCATCGATACCTTTACAAGTAATACGTATGTGATGGTAGTTATGTCGGATCCCACCATACCTTCCGAAGCTACACTGGTGAATATACGTAATGCACGTAAATATTTTGAGGAACTGGAAACTTCCAATAATAATACTGTTAATCACCATCAGTATCATTAAGTTTCAACGACAAAAAGTGTTTAAAAACTTGAGTTGCAATTAAATAGTTTATAGAAAGGTAAATTACTCACAAGAAAAATGATTTTAAAATCATAGTATTTCTTGGCTTTTCGCATTTATTGAAACAGATATATGTTCTTCTTTACGTCTTACTTCACTTCAAAAATGAAAAAAAAAGTTTATCTTTAGATATTTACAAGACAAATATTACCTAAAAATATCTTTAAGATATGTTCTCTAAAAATTAGTTTCATTTTAAAACACCTGATATTCTTGTCACAGTTCGAACATTATATCCGGCAGAATATTATTGCATTCATTTCTAGATGACATGTGCAAAACTTGTCCTTCGATCCAGAAAGACTTCATAAAGGACACTTTTTTCTAGTCAGTGCTCGATTCTCGGTCAATTTCATCTTGCTTATCCGTGCGTGTTTTTGTCCATTATTGGAGTTTATTTGTAGCCTTACCCTGTACGGTGGAAATGCAGCGTCTGCTCTATAAAATACAGTATCTATCAGCTTAATTTATGAATAATAACGTTTTACTTCCTCCGTCAGTTTCTCCACACTTTGCTCATCGACCGGCACAAAACGTTTAGAGCCGCGACTAAAGTAATAAATGTCACCCGTATAAATATCGAACCATAGAGCATGTATGTGCAAGTCGTGAGACTCTAAACGAGGTTTTAAAAAACCATACGAAGCTATATTTGAAACTTGTTGTAACGTGTTTATCTGCGACAGTTTGTCTTCAATAGCGAACTGATTATCGGGATCAATATATGCCACAAAACGCCTTAATCCTGATTCGGAATAGAAAATCAGAGGATCGCGCATTCCTTTCTCTCCCCATTCCAAAAATTTCTCCAAACTTGTGGTTGCATGTGTACATAACCAGGACCTGAGTGAGGACAAGCGTCGATTATTCTGCATAAAAAAAAAATATAAAACAATATTGCTTTCTATACTTGAACAACAGTTTAAGTACCTTTGAAGCAAAATCCGGATCTCTTAGCATATATAACAAATTCATAGCTTTGCAATCACTATGGCCGCACACAATGATATGACGTATGTCATTAACTACACAACCTAACTCTAAAGCAGCGGGCTCGCAGCTGAAATGTTCGTCTTGAAAGTGATGGGCGTGAGGTATTAAATTTCCAGCGTTACGCACTGTAATAGAAATTAAGATTAAAGCAATTGTATGATCCCAATATAAAATTCTAATCGAATTTTGTTGTCGCTGTTAACCACAAACACCCACCCACAAACATATCACCAACATGCGTGTCTGTGTATCGTGTGGGTATCATTCTACTATCCATACATGTAAAAAAGACTGCCTTTGGCTGCAAATTGAAATGAGAGAAATGACGTCAAAAAATAAATTATAGGCGCTTATACATTACAGATTTATAATTAATGAACGATTTGTATGTTTGATATCCAACATTTATAGTCAAATGAATGAATCTGAAATAATTTGACTAACATTGGTGAGGAGGAAAAAACGTTTTTACATATTTTCTAAAGGCATTGATACTATTGTAGTAATACATAAAAATTGTTTATGCAGAATGTCTTTGTAAAATAATTTTGAAATTTTTGCTTTCAATTTTTTTTTGCGAAATGGATTTGGACAATATTTTACCTTTCGTAAAATTTTTTTTAAAGATATGTCAAATCTTTTATCTTACGTTAAACAAAATTTTAATTTATTGAACACGTTTCTGTTCAAAACCGTTTTGTAAAAAACTTATCTAATTTTTAGATGTTTTTTGGGCTATTAAAAACACTCGCTGTTCGACACGTGGCTTCGATAGTTGATGTGACATCGTTGGACATAAACCCAAACGCAAAAATTACCTTCGAGTTTATTCGTTTCGGATGGACTTTTTGCTAATATATGATCGTTGCTTGATTTTTGATTGCGTGTGTATCAGATGAATTGATTCATCTGAGTTTGTATAAGGTGAACATAACTTTATTTTTTATATATTAAAATATATTTATTAGAGGGCAAGAAAATGCGTAGTAAAAGATGCCTGCTCAACGAATTATTGATTTGCTTACTTCACTTCTGCAATTTCACTCCAACAATTTAGTTAAAAAAAGATTGATATTTTTTCCAAAACTTTACTCTAGAATTTTTCAAACTGGAGATATACGTACATAAATAAGGTGTTAAATTGTCTCGAAATAAATTTATAACATTTGAAAATGGGATAATCAAACCAAGAATTCATTGATATATAAGGCGGAATATATAAAATTATCTCAGTGGTACCATCAAGTAGAACTTTTTTAAAAGACTATTTATTTTACATTGTTATCTAAACATCAACATCATGTTTAAAATTTTGCCTTTTGAAATAAAGGTTTTTGAAACTTTTATAACTTCGTTATTCCGCATTTAAAGTTTCAAATAACTTGGCGCAATCCACATTGAGCCAAAATTTTTACCGCGTTTTGTCGGTGGTCGTAAATTGTTGGTTTCCAGTCAGAGCATAAGAATGCCGTTAGAAAAAACAACCATTTTCGTATGTCTGCATGAAGCAGTGCAGCAATTAAAAAACAATCTTTTCCTATTTTCGAGTTTTCATGTGTTTCATTTCCAGTCTTTCTTGCATACTTCTGCAAGCCTAATTAAAATTATCTGCTGCTTGCTCGGCTAAGAAAATTAGTTTAATCAAATTTGCAGGCATTTCAAGATTTCACTGTGCAAATATCTAAGGGTTCGAAGTTGAAGAAAACACTTAATTCAGCTACTGTAAGTGTAGGACACTTTTATTCAACTCGTTCTTCAATTGTGAATAATTGCGAAGGAGTATTATATAAAGTTATTGACCGAGCGACTGTTGAGATTGAGCGTAGAGCCAAAATAGCAAGTACATCGTTATTAGGTCCGTCGAATGCTAATGATAATGCTGCAAAAAATTTGTTAACTTTGCGTTTGTTGATGTCACTATTCCTTTTATATTCTATATCCTCTATATTCTATACTATCCCTTTTATATTTTATATTCATTTCAAAGATATGCATGTTTACAGTTACAAATTTGGTTGGATTATTGTCCACATCATATAAACGTAATGGAACCTTTCACGTGTCTTAAGAAAAAGCAAACTTTTTTGCTCAATATGCAAACCTGTTAGCCTTACCATGGGATTTACTAAAAAGCTCAACTGGCATCTCTTTAACAAAGCATAAACATTCTCGCTTTCATTCGGTATTTATTATTTATCTATTGCAAAAATTTCTACGTATAGAAGTGCATGCTTGCATAGAGAAGAGTATAATTTGGTTCTAGTGTTTTCATTGTCAGCGCCCTACTCACCTCAGGATTATCGCGTACTCTTTGGAATTCTTTTACCATTTGTTCGCGTGTAGTATTACGATAACGCATAATTCCACGCAGTATTCGCTCCATATTTTCAGAAATTTAAGACTAATCCTTATTTTTATTATTTAATAACAGCTCTTGCTATCTATTTAAATATTTATGCTTCGATTTTCGTTTTTACGTTGACCTTGATAATGATTGCATACAATTTTTTAATGCGTTTCATTAAACTCAATATTTTACTAATTTTTCTTTTTGTAAAAACAAGGTAAATGATCATAGAAATCAACCGCTTTCTTAAAGTGATTTTGCGGTACCCGTTCTCTACGCTTAATAAAAGCCGACTAAGTTTCTAAATTATTTACAAATAATTAGTTGACGGAATAAGCAAAACAGTGTTTTTTTTATGTATGAATAATTTGTGGACTGGTCTGCGAAGCAACAGTCGCTCTTCCGCTCATTCTCTCTTAATAAGGAAAGAAGAGCTTCACACCTTCAGCTTTTTGGCGCGCATCATACTCTTAATAGTCTAAATAAATGAGTGACTCTAAAGAAAAATTAACAATAAATAGAATAATTTGACTAAAAAGTATTCGTGCAAAGCTTTGGAATACTATATATAGGGACGTACTTTGGATTTGGTGCTGCATTAGACGGAGGTGAGTACGTTAACACTAGGGCTACCGAATACATAATTTTGATCCTTCTTAATTCTTGATTTTCAAAAAAATGACTAAAAACCATGTAGTGTTCCAAAATTTTACCCTGTTATTTATTTAAATGAAACTAGCTTTAAATACTTTTTCCTACTTGGGCCAGTTTTTGAGATTTCGATGACATATATCTATTTTTCCTAAAAGGCACCATTTTGATCCCTTATATTTGTCGATTTGCCACAGTCGTAAAAAAGAAGATACGAAAACGAAATTTTGCCGGCTTGATCTTTTAAGAGTGTAAGATTGAAAATTTGATGTGGGCTGTCTATATGCACGCACGTAATGTGGAAGAAACATACGCAACTTCTCAGATGCTCGTCAGGATCAATTTTATGTTCAGTTAGAAAATAGTCCCAATGGATCTAATGGCAAATACACTGGATTTAAAATGTTATTGTTATTTGTGGGCGTATTTGTAAACGGTGTGGACCATATTTGGATCAAACCTGTAGGTCGATTTGGCAAACATTTAGTGTAGCAGATTTTTGGAAATATCTTAACAGGTTCCAAACTTATAGATAAAAATATCAATAAATTGTTTTTATGGAGGTGGTTTTTGATTCTCATTTATGGTGGGTGTATATGTGGGCAGGTCGCAACCAATTTTGCAGCATTGGATTCTTAATCGATCAAGTTATATTTGTGTCAAATTTCACCTTAATACCTTCATTTTTTGCTACTGTGTCATGTCGACAAATATAGCGTATCAAAGTGGTCTCTTTTGGTAAAAATAGGTGTATGCAAAAAGTTGGTACATCTAGTGTTAAACGAGACCAGAAAAGAGAAATAAGCAAGTGCTATTAGCTGGCTGCAATATTTTTTGAAACCGTTTTCGATCAATCAAAAAATATTCATACTTATTTTTGTTAACAATTTATAAATAAACAAAGGTTGTTTTATATGCGTTAGAGCCAGCGTATAATGCTTCGAAATCGAAAATTCGTGTAGAAAATTCAAAAGCATGATTGATGTGGTGATTCTTAGCTATTGGCGGCTGCGTTTAGCGTTTTCTTATTATAAGCGCTTGATATAGCTCACATAGAGTATGTAGAAGCAATTTCGTCCTCTCTACCGTCCTAGACCACGCATCGTTTGTAAATTATTTGAACACATAGCAAAATTCATTGCGTCCATGTCGATTTCTTCATTTAATAATGTCTAGGCATTTATACAACTCACAGCGAATATTGTGGCTTTATGAATGCTGACAATAATTACGACCTTATCTCTAAAACTTACTTTCTCATTCACATGGTTCATCAATTGGAAGCCTCGAATAAAATGGTGAAGCTTGCATACAGTACGGAAAACAACTGTGTCGTTGAACCAAACCTCGTTATTAACTAAGAGAATCCAAAGAATAACACTTTTCTAGACATGCAGAGACAAACAATCAGATGGCTAAGATTAATTCATATTCCTAACCTGAACATGGTACGAACAGAATGACTTTAAAATAGCTTCACATCAAACATTTTCGGCGTCGGTAGAACATGTTGATAATCATTTAATCGTACCTTGAAAGTTATTGAATAAGGGAGTCTAAATATGTGCTTGTTTTCAAGAGGGGTCGTAACTAATATTGTGGGGCTTTGAATAAAATTTTGATTTCTCTGTCTAAAAATACTATGTTTAACTTTGCAGCGTGTTGGATAAGTAGTTTTTTCATCACTGTTCATAAAAGGGGTGATACGAAGAGAAGTGCAGGGATGTTACGAAATTGAGCGTACTGCCAAACTTGTTTCAGAAAATTGTAATTCCGCGTATAACAGGCCATAAACTCGTGTGCCGCTTCGGTTCAGCATGCATATAAGCAACGTGAAAGGCTTTTTCTAGATGCACTCAAATGGACGTTATATACATGGGTTTTCATAAGGCTTTTGATCAAATAAAGCATGAGTTGCTGTTTTAAGCTGCAATACATGAGTTTCGCCTTGTATCTAGTAGAGTGGATCAGGACGTACCTCTTTGACAGATCCGATTGTGTACTCTTTGACACACTGCAGTCTAGTGAATTTAAGGTAATGTCGGTTTTTCCTCAGGGCAGTCATCGTAGACTTACTCCATTTGTTCTTTTTATAAACGATTTCTCATATGTGACCAAATCATCTAAAATGGTAATGAATGGAGATGACGCGAAAGAAGAAGACTACTCACGCAGAACTATGTTCTAGGTTTTAGAACCCTTCAAGTTGACTTACATAATTTAGTTCTTCGATTAATGAGTTAATATTGAACTCGGATGTTTTTAAAACGGACAGTGTATCAAACACAATACTTTATATACTCATATAAATTGGAGAATACAGATACTATTTATAATTTAGACGTGCTCTTTGATAGATAGGTATCGTTTGATCCACATATTTCATCCGCTACAAACAAAGCAATATACACGTTGGGATTCATTAAACGCTGGGTTCATGAGCCATATATTATAACGAAGAGACTGTAAACGAGGTTAGTTAGATCAATATTGGAGTATGTTATTTGAATGCGATCGAATCGGTGCAAAAACAATTCCTGCTTTTTGCGTTAAGGGATTTGATAATAACTAATTAGTAAATGGGTGAGTAGTCTATTAGCCACGATTGTGTTTAAGTTTGGTTTAATTATATTTTATAGAAATATGTGTTGATAGATATTTTTTGGTTAAATGAAAAGATATATCCACGATCCATTGTGGTTGCAGATACTCGGTCAGTTAGAATAATTTTTACAATGATTCCATGTGATGGTGGACGATGGTGGGCAAAATGTAAACTTTGGCTAACCTTTTATTCAGATTACATTTCATATCATTTTTTCTCTATCCAGTTAATTTTCGGCTCGTTTTATCTTTGTACAGTTTTTTTATCCAATTTTACTTAGAGAGTGTTTTTTTCTTTGTTAATAAATTTTGTCATTATCCAGTTTTTTCCATATTAAAATGGAAAAAATTATTGCACTCTATTTGTTCAAAATTAGCTTCTCTTAACTCAATCGCTCATCTCTTCCTAACGTTTCTCTTAAAGCTAGGGGCAATACTTTAAATAATTATTTTGCGTCATTTGCTTTAATAAACATTAAAATTAATTAAATATTGATAAAGGTTCCTTTCCGCTTTTAACAGTATCAATTTAAATAATTTTTAATTTTTTGTGCTTAAGTTTGACTTTATACATAAAAAAAGTTGTGTCGTATTTTAAGTAAAATATTTAAATTTGAATATGTTTAAACCGCTCTTTAGCAGTCGAATGGAGAATGCCGATCTCCTTTGCAATTGCAAAGTGCTAAGATGTTAGTCACTCTCCAACATGGAGCCCGAAATGCCGTCCAAATCGACGATCTTGTTTGAAACTGAAATCTTCCGAACGAAAACCCCAGGTCAGAACATTTACTATTTCGCTTCCCGACACAGATTTTTGCAAACGTTGCTTCCTTCCTGGGATTCGCACCAAATGTAGCGTCTTAAATGCACCCTATTATATGCAGTTTTTTCAGTCTGCGCCTTGCATTTACATTATATTCCACGAGAGTTATGCGGTTGAATTAAATTCGTAATTACATTTTCTAATAATACCATCCTGATTGCCTCAAACTTTTAAGATAGTTTAAGTACCATATTTTTTTTTCAGAAACTTTGTTGGGTTGAAATTGAAAAAACCAATTTGCAAGTCAGCGCCTTAAATCCTAAACACACCCGTAACAGTGAATTCATTAAAATTAGGAAACAAAACAAACACGCCGCGATAGCCTAGGCATCAGAGGCGCATCAAATGTATACTATAAAAGTAAATTATTAATGCGGTAGAAAGTTTAGCAACACATCAAAATAACCATCGGCACAGACACGTACGTATACGTTCTAATCACGAAAGAAGTTATAATAATCAGACGGGAGAACTCTTAAATCATTTCCGCTTAATATTTTTAGTTTTCTTTTTAGAATCTAAATCAAAGAAAAGTCTACTATTGAGTTTTAAATAATATAGAACTTTTTCCCTGTTTTTGAAAGGGGCTAAAAATTTCTATTGAAACATAGATCTTCAACGCAATAAGTTCATTACGTATAAAAGTTTGCGTGTTACATTCCGTGTGCTTACTTGTTTCGGACTGTTAAAATTCCGAGAGCAGCGAATTTAATTTCAAATCTATTTCTCCATGCGTTATCTTCGCGGCTCTCTGGACTTTTCCGAAACATAAATTTTTTGTTAAACATTTTAATATTGTATATACAAAACTTTGTTAACTTATGATTGTTAAAATTTTTCGCCCGTGTTCATCATGATAAAAACGTGCGGTGCGGGTATCAAAAGCTTCGAGTTGACTTTCATCTAAAATTTTAGTTTTGGAAAACGATGAAAAGTAAGTTTGATAATACTGTTAATTCTGGCGATCTGTCATTGCAACATTTATTATTATGAATTGGCGTTTGTTAGTAAACAACAAACTAATACAGCTCCTCAAACTAGCACAAGGACATGCGAACATTAGAAGGAAAAAATCAATACCGTTATGCGCAGACTCGTCGCAACTAAACATTGCAAACGACAAATGTTGGGCGGACGAAATAATCTAACGAAAGCAAAGCAATTCTTGATATAAATTAATGTATATTTTATTATAAGAATAATATCATAGCAACTCTGAAGTTTATTAAAGTGTTAGAAAGCCGAGAGAAACCATGTACACGTCCTTATGTCAAAGTTCAAATGTTTTTAGAATTTAATGAGAAAGAAATCTTGTATGGCTCTTATGTTTAATAAATAATATATTAACTTTTAAAGCACAATTTATTTGTCACGTTTTGTGTGAACAATTTTTTTTTTGTTAGCGAGCATTTGATAACAGTATGGTTACAAGGAGCGATGAGCAATCCATTGAGGCAAATTCTGTGAAGGAACGCCCAGTTTTTATACCGCCACGTAAACGTCACACAAATAAGAAAAGTAATGGTACACAAAATTATGTTGATCACATTGCCAACGTTCAGGTAAATAAAAAAATAAACGGTACATTAATCTTAACCTTTTTTGAAATTTAAAACTTTATAAAATTCTTTGAATCTTTCATCGCTTAAAGTACGTTCACACACGACAACACAGAGTGCCAACTAGTGCTACAGTTGCTGTCGGGTTCCTTGCCCCTTTCATGATCGTCAACACTTTATGTGGAAGAACCGTATTCGGCTAAGCTAAGATAAATCAGTTCAGGGAAACGGGGATATTCAGCCGCTTCCTTTTGACCGGGTTAATATTCCAATAAATTGATAAATTTAGCTCACAGTTGCTGATAAATTCGGCATGTAGGTTTAATTTGAGAAAATATCCCTTGTTAGTGAGTTTAAACACAGTAAATAGAAATTATCGTAAAGTGGAAACTTGTACTAGAAAAAATTTTGTCATTTTTGCATTATTTTGTTTTGAGTGGGAAAGGATATAATTTCTTAAAACAAAAGGACGAGGTATCCCTCAAGCACAAATTTCAGGATTATTTTTGTTTGACTTCTAAACGGAATCAAATCTATTGGGAGTCTCGCTAAGATTTATCTATTTTAATATATATATGTCAGGTGGAATAGTAAGTCTTCTTTTCTTTTTTGTTCCGTTTCGCAGAACCGCCAAAAGCTTTCGCCGTCTAATACTGGTCTAGAAGAAGATCTTTTAAACACGAAACTCTTGCTGAAAAATAAGCAACCACTCCCACAAATACCAAATAAGTGTGCTATTGATGATCATTCGGGTGAAAGAATGTCAGCTAAATCAACGCAATCTGTTGATAACATTTACGTGGATGATAACGAATTAAATAATTTTGAGAGCGTTTCGCAAGAGACAAAATCAACAAACCGGCATGAATCTGCAACGGTGACACCAAGTAGTTATTCCGAAAGTAGTTTGGATGCCAAATTAAGTAAATCACATGACTGCTTGAGTAACCGATCATCGAAAAAAAAAGTGAATATCTGCACTAATTTACCCCAAATGAAAGTGGCACGCAATTCTTCGGAAGTGACAAACTATGAGGATCTTGAGTCAGGCGAGACAAGTGTTTTAAATGCCTTTGACAATTCATTGGAGAGATTTAATACGCGCAAGTCCTTGGATAGCAATTATTTGACAATGACCGGGACTATAAAGCGAGGGCGCAAAAAGGGGCAAAATGTGGATTTGCAATTGAATATCAGTCGGGACGAATTGGAGAAAATAAATGCAGCTGCCGTGGCCATGGAAGTGAAAAAAAAAGGAAATTTATGTTGTAAATGTTCGATCAGCACTGGTCCTCATATTTTGCTGTTGTCATTAGTTTGTTGGCCCATTGTTACTTTGGTTTCAAGTATTTATTCGTTTTACATAGGCACTCTCACGTGGTACAATATGTTTAATTATTTGCACGAAGAAAAATCCATTGTAGTACGTTTTCTAATGTCACCAATATTGGTGTTAGCTTATCCGGTGGGCATTGTAATATGCACCTTAGGCTTAGGCTTGTATGCCGGTTTCGCACAGTTAAGTTTTCAGTTTACAAGTTGGAGTAATGAAGTAGCCGACATTGAGAAGGGTTTCTATGGTTGGTTTTGTTCAACTCTCAATTTATCTGATTGCAGCCCATACGAAACAGTTATATTAACGGAAATACGCGAACACCCAGTCAAAACAAGCGAAAAGCACAACTCCAGTGAAGAATTAACATTGTAAGATGGTTATAAGAATAAAAAAAAGCGTGAAGGATAAAGTGATAAATTTGAAATTTTTAATAACTTTCTATTGGCTTCGATTTAATTAAAAACCAAATCAAATTTTTGTGTGATAAAGACTTAAGGATTACACCTCTTGATACAAATTATAATGAAATTTCCTTTTTTTATGAAAATCTCCAACATTTCTCCATTTAGATAACTTAATTATGCAATAATATATCTCTATTGAAAAGGAAAGAGCAATAGCAGCAAATTTGTCGGTGCTGCTTTTGCAATCTAAACTACTTTAATAGAAAGCCGCTTAGTTAATAACTCGGAAACAAATATAACCAACTTCTATATCACTTCATACCTAATATATACACATATGTATATAATATATAATACAATATATATATATATATATATATATTTAACATATGTATGTGTATATGTATGTGTTTATGTATATACGTGTATAGGTATATACGTATATGTATATGCATGTATGCATACTCATAAGCAGAAGCGTAGTTTTTTTTTCTTCACCCTATTGTACATAAAGGTTTGATAAAAGAATTATTTACTAACTGCAAATGTGAAATCAATTTCCTATTTATTAATATGAAATGACCTAAAATTTAAGTTCCAATAAATTGAAGAGAATGAAAAAATGCATTTACAAACCGAGCATTTAAATGTTCTTTATTGACTAACAATTTCAATTTTATTATAACAAAAAGCAAAGAAAATAAAAGTATTATAAAGTTGTTTCTGGTCAAATTTTTATTTCAACGAATATATATACCTCTATACCTCAAGTTAAAAATGTGAATAAATATGCATTCGTTCTTATATCGAGTTTTTAGTAAAAAATTCCATACAGCAGGATGAAACACGTACCATAGAAACATAAACAAAATGAAAATGTTGCGGGGAGAATTTTTCTGAGATTTTCAAAGATAAACAAACATTTTATATACGTTTTTCATATAATTAGGCTTTAAGAAATTAATTTGGTGCGAAATGTTATAAAGTGCAAAGAAGTGAAAAGATTATAACAAGGCAAGGCCATGTTTAAAGAAGATCGTTGTCCATCCAAAACAAGCAGCACACTGTAATCTACAATAACATAATAAAACTTTTCCTAAGTTCAATCTTCGAAGAGAAAGAGAACATAAAAGAGAATAGTGGCTTTTAGAGACACGATTTGTTGAGTATCATTAAATAAGACGTGGCAAATAAATGAAATGAATGCCATGTAGGAATAGCAGAATTTACATAAAAAGTTTACAGAAACTAGCTCGTAAAGTAGATGAAATTTCTGATTGAATTGCTAGGCGGAAGCCTAACTTGCTCATTTATCTTGTGCTGAGAAACCGTGGAACGCAAAGTTGAAATTTGCTCAGATTTTACTGTAAGACGAAAAACCTCACGCATAACCACACAATCCGTTACCTTAAGCTTGTTTCGAGCATAGAACACGCAAAAATTCAAAATTTGCCTTACGATAAATAAATGTACGAGTTTTTTTTCATTTACGTTTTTCCTGCAATTTGCCCAATTTTTCTCTGTCAATATCAACTACGGGCATGAACAGAAGCGTGTTAAGCTCATTTTCAATAGTAACAACATAAACAAACTAAGGCTTTGCATTTGTAACTTTGTACTTTTGAGAGAAGAATATTGTGAATTAAAATTAAGGGAAGAACAAATTGTTCTAAATATATTTCCTACATCTGCAAGTAAAGCAACAGGTTAGAAATACTTAGATCAGTGTCAATAAAAAGCGAGATACAACTGCAATTGAACTCAACATCTTCAAGGTGTGAAGTAAATGTGGGTCGTTTAATAAATGTCTACGAATGGAAGACGTCGCTTTAGGCTAATATTTAGTCCCTCTTGGATCAGATTGCTTTAAAATACAGTTTACCAGCGTTAAGAAACTAAAAACGTAGAACTACTTTTCATGAGAAATTTAAAGAAATGTGGCCTATGACTGCCAGAAACCAGAGCGTACCGTACATTCGACTGTTTAATAGAAAGGTTAATGTAGCGATCTCTTCTTTTAGTTCTGCAACCCTTAAGTCTTCTAATTTATTATATATTTTGGATAAAGAAGGCTTGCAGGTTTTCTAAATTGCCTTGAAGAATTTTTTTTTAGAACCGATTGAGCTAAATGGATTTGTGAATTTGCTATATATTTGACTTTCTCTTTAATTGTTTATTATGGTATTCTATTCCAATTGGGGTGTTCGTTTATCAAAGCAATTAAAGCGACAGCAAGATGCAGTAACTAACTCGTTAAAGCGTTCTCTCTCGGTAGAAAAGCCCAGTAGGCTGACGTAATTTAAGAAATGTATTTCTGTAGTCATTATTTCCGATTATGATGAAGTAGACTATTTCAAGAACGTAATTTTACTCCAACATATTATGAATTTGTGATTACATCGTAAGTAAGCCATATAATTAACGAAATTAGAAATAAATGTAAAGTTGAAAATGGCGAAAACAAATTTAACAGCGGTCTTGTACGGCGTTGAAGATTTGAAATTGGTGAGTACACAAATACCTAGAGATAAAATGCGAACTTTTATAACATCAGCTTTTCTCGCAAGAAAGTATGATTTGTAATTGGGTTTGCTAAAGCATTTAAATAAACTTAAACAACAGCTGTTTGCGTGTTTGTGGGATAATATAACTTCAATAGTATACAAATGAACTGAATTCGTAAGTTCATTAGGCGACCATTTTAAATTCTAGTCTTCATCAGATTACGGCGTTTATAAATTTTAACATTCCGTATATATTATTACGCCACTGCACAGTTTTTATAATCGACCTTTTCGTTTCATATATTTATTGGTTTTTCATGCAGCAAAAGAAAATAGATAATTGAAACTTTGCACATATATTTTTGGATGAATTTCGCAAATATCGCAATATTTCAAAAATTAAGGAGTTAGCAACGAAGCAAAGCCGTTTGAAAGTTTGCCCGACCCTGATCGATCGCAATTAACCAGAAATAAATTAGAAGTAATCAGCTCTTAACGTTATCCGAAGTGGAAGAGTTCCTTCGTATCTGTTTTCTGATAATTTTATTAACTTAATATATACATTACAAATAGAGTAGCATTCCAGATACTTTTGACTCCTATTGGTAGTCCAGTTGTTTATCGCTACCAACGACGTTATAAAGTGGTTTTATAACCATCCCAAAACATTTTATACCATCTATAATTAATTCCGTCTACCTTGTTCGAAGAATGTACATGCTAGGGGCGATCTAAGTCCCCATGACATGGCAACAACTAACAAGGAACTTGTGATATTTGTTCTAAACATGAGTTAGTCTTAAGGCGAATATAATTGCCCCCATGTTTATGCATTTTGAACATTTTCTCTTGATCTTACGATATTGTAAATTCAATTTATTTTATAGGAACAACGTCCCATACCAGACATTGCAGATACCGGTCAGTTTCATTCCTCAATTAGATGTATTCTATATTCGTACGATTAATATTTTTGCAGAAGTTCTGTTAGCCATAGATTGCGTGGGTATTTGCGGCTCAGACGTTCACTATTTAGTTAATGGGCGCATAGGCGACTTTATTCTAAGACAACCTATGGTCATTGGTCACGAAGCTTCTGGTGTAATAGTTAAAATTGGTGCTAAGGTCAAACATCTTAAAATAGGAGATCGTTGCGGAATCGAACCTGGTGTGCCATGCTATATATGCTCGTACTGTAAGACTGGTAAATATAATCTATGTCCGGAAATGAAGTTTTGTGCCACTCCCCCTTATGATGGTAACTTGACGCATTTTTATAAGCATCGCGGAGACCTTTGCTATAAATTGCCTGATCATGTCAGCATGGAAGAGGGGGCTCTGCTGGAGCCGCTTTCGGTGGGCGTGCACGCCTGTTCTCGCGGTGGAGTCAGTTTGGGTTCCTTAGTTTTAATTACGGGTGCTGGAACCATTGGCTTAGTTACGTTATTGGTGGCTAAGTCCATGGGGGCCGCAAAAGTCATGATAACCGATTTAGTACAACATCGCTTGGATGTAGCCAAAGAATTAGGTGCCGATTGTACGTTGCTGATCACACGCGAAAATAAAGCTGAACTTCTAGCTGAAAAAGTAGAAATATTAATGGGCTCAAAACCAGATATATGTATAGATTGTTGCGGTGCTGAAACAACCACGCGTTTAAGCATATTCGTAAGATTATGTGCTTAAAGCATTATTTATATTTGAAAGTTCATTTCTTTGGTAGGCTGCCCGTTCTGGCGGTTGTTGCGTTATTGTTGGTATGGGAGCAGCTGAGACTAAAATACCCTTAGCGAATGCCTTAATCAGAGAAGTTGACATACGGGGAGTTTTTCGCTACTGTAACGAGTAAATTACGAAATAATTTTTTTACATATGCATATATGTATAGTTTGTATTTGTGTATATTTCATTTATTTTAGTTATTCAACCGCATTAGGTTTAGTATCTTCGGGGAAAATTGATGTGAAACGTTTGATTACTCATCATTTTGACATTACCGAAACTGTCAAAGCTTTTGAAATAGCGCGCCATGGATTGGGAAATGTTATTAAAGTTATGATCCATGTCCAACCTATAGACAGTAATAATAAATGTTGATTATGTATTCCTCATTGCACTTAATTAATGATATAGAAAAGCTATTGACGTAGCCCTGCGTTGAGGCGTATTTTTTAACCTTGACTAACAGGCGGTAATTTAATGCTAAGTACGCAGACCTCGGTGCCGATTTCATGGAAATTACCGCTGAATGAAGGATCGCGCTGAATCTGCTATTTAGGATAAATGTATACGTATGCTATCTGCCTGTTAGGATAAATGCTTACGTATATTATAAAAATTTTATTAATATGTCATGTATTTGCAACAATTTTGAGAAGCGATTTCTTCAGGTAAAGAAATGGGAAATACCGGCGTACATAGCTATTTTCTAGATAGTACAGTAGATATTCAGCTTAAGCCGACGCTAATCGTGGAGCTCTCAAAACTGCGCTTTCGACCTTCATTACTTTTTTCGTTTGATTTGAAGAAACCTTCTGCTCAAGCCTATCAAACACGCTCACAAGCTTATATTGACGTTCTTACCATTTGGCCTATGGAAATATTTCATTCCGCTGAAGCGATGCATGGAGGGGAATGCTTGCTTTTTAATCTAAAAAAATGAAAACAAATGAATAAATAATAATAAGCAAATATAAATGCTAACTTTCCTTTGGCATGCAGCGAATCTTCATTTATATGAGGCGATGAGCGGAGCGAGTTGGACTTCATTTTTTTCTTATCTAAATAGAAGACACAATTGTATAAAAACATTTTTATAATATTATAAATACCTTAGGACCGGGAAGCAATGAGTCGATTATGGGCAGCAATGAGGTGATTGGGGGCGGCATTGTTCGGCTTATATTTGTATTTTTACCCAAAATTAAATACAAATAAGGATAAAATAGATATAAACAAAAATAGGATAAACATAAACTTACCATTGGAGGAGAGCGAATCATTTTCATGATGTGGAGGGGCCGACCACAGAGCTGGACTTGATTTTTATATATATGTAAAATAAAAAAATTATATTTCGAATATAAATTTAAGTGCAAGGAAAAACTTTGTTCATTATTATGAATCATACGTTACCGCTTCTCAAGGTCTTAGACAGAAAGATATTTCTTAAAAAAAAGCTTCAACAAAATCATTCAACTTTCTGTCATCCATTTGCATGTGCAGGAAACGATGGGTATTTAAAAATAAGTAAAATGTTTTATTTCCTTATCGTTTTTGTGTAACAAATACTACGTAATAAGAAAGAAATCAAATGTTACTTTTTTTAAATGAAAATAGGCATGCAGAAAATATTTTTTAACATTCAATTTTTATAATTTTCAACAGATATTCTATTTTCGTCATTTTTAACATTGCATGCATTTTGACGGGTAGCTGTAGACTTTTAAAAGAAATACATGAATAAGTTTGTTCGTTTTCTTCATGACAAAACGTGGCGATGTATCGAAGGCAACTCCATTCTCTTTTTTTAAAACTTGTGAAGAAAAAAAATCCACTAACAGCCAGCAGGAATCAAAGAAATTTTTATAAATGAGTGAAGAAGTTGCTACGGAATTGAAATACAATAAAATATTATAAAAAAATTAAAAAATATCTTAAATAAAATTTCATTTCTAACAACTGATGTGACTCGATTCTTTTAATTGTATCTGTCTTAATTTCAATAATATTTGGAAACAACATTCAAAACTCTGCAAATTCCTCGCAAAACTTGATTGATTTTCAAAGTAAAATTTTTCGTTTATATCTTTGCTTAATATATTGCGTGATTCGAGAAGAATATTCAACCTGAGGTGAAGATAAATGTATTACCAGTTTCTTTATTTTCTCAAAACATTTATTTGTAAAGATGTGAAAGGAAAACTATTTTTTTAAAGTATTTAAATAGCATTTGATAGTTTGAATATGTGAGCCAAACAAAATGCGCAGTGCGGTAAACATTTCCAATATGATAAAAAATATAATAAATAAATTAATATAAAATTTTACTTTACTCTAGAGTTGATCCTGATTTATTGGTTCCTATTATCGTAAAAGTGGAGATTGATTCGTATTTGGCTGACAGGGATTATTCTTTAACTTTACTGCAAAAAAATATCCAATAATAAGACATTTGTTTTATCGTTTTAATACTCCAATCAGTTTTGGTTTTAAGTGGCTAAAAGTGGTTATTTTGAGGTCAATAACAAAGACCAAAGGACCAAAAACTTTCGAAGACAATGAACTGCAAGGCTTAGTGGACGAAAACCCAGCTCAAACTCTCAAAGATCCTTCGAAAAGCTTAGCAGTTGATGAATCGACTATTTTTAGACGCTTACATGCGCAGGGAAAAATCTAAAAGGAGAGAAAATGTCTATCATGGGAATTAACCGAAAGTTCCATTTCGACCTTCTTCAATCACTGCCACGCAAAAAAGAAAAATTTTATGGCTTGTTGTGACTGGCGATGAAATGGGGATCTACTACGACAATTACAATTGTAAAAATTATGGGTTAGTTCAGGAGAGTCATCCACATCGACTCCAAAGCGGATATGACCATAACGTTTAACTGCGCATGTGCTGGGATCACCAAGGTGTATTGTGTTACGAACTGCTAAAACCGTAAATTGAGTTGAAGCGTGTATTGTTGCAAAAGAGATCAGCAATAGCGGTTAAAATGGCTACCATACGAATTGACTAAAAATGCCATTTTGATCATTTGTTGCAGTTGTTATCAAGGATACACTCAGCGTACTCACCAAACATTGCGTCTTCTGATTACCACTTGTTGGAATCGATACATCATCATGAATTGGCTGGCTCTGCAAATTTTAAAAAGTGCGAGAATACGTTGATGAGTGGGTCACTGCGACAACACTATCGTTCTTTCGACACGGTATCGTCAAACATGACAACCAGAAAGGTGGAAAAGTGTGGAAAATTATGGATAACATTTTGATTAATATATATTGTACCAATTTTATCAATAAATGCTTTCCTCAAGTGAAAAATTTCTCAAAATGAATGCAAATATCTGATAAAAACAAAATTTGAAAAGATGTTAAAGCATAAAAAAAGGGAAAAATGAGTCTTGTTTACATTTTCTCCTCAATTGTTCTCGGGTATATTATTGTGCTATTACAAAAAGGTACTAAGATTTTCGTTTCGTTTCTTTTTGACCAAACACTCCGATACATATATATGCACCATGTGCAAGTATGTACTATTAATGTAATTTATTTTTTTACACCCTACACATACACCACTAATGGTACGAAGGTATACTACGTTAGTGTAGATGTATGTAACACTCCGAAGGACTTAAGATAGAATTATCTTTTACTTTATCTATTCGTTCGGAATCGCTTTTTGGTTCGATCTAAGCTCTTCTGTGCATGTGCCAATTTTATTTTGTTAAGTTCACTCTACAAGTCGCAATTTTCGAGATATTTTGGTGGAATGTAGTGCACAGGCATGTTTCGACCCAAGGACGAACGCTGTTGAAAATGAATCTGATCGGACCCGTTTTTTGATCACTTGCCTTATAACGCCTTATTCAGAATGGTCACTATAAGATGGTGTAGCATATCTTGTATTTACCACTGTAGTACATTTTCTTGTTTTTTATAATTAGATCGGTTTTTGTTCCGACGGTAAATCGATCGACAGCGATTTCTCTGTATTGTGTCGTATAGGCTAAACATGAAGACAGAAAAATAAACAAGTAATGTACAGTATGCATATGGAGATGTTTTAGGATAAATAATAGTATGCGAACTTAAAAAACTAAAAACAAACAGCAAATATTAGAGAAATTGCTTCAGATTACAGAAATGTTTCCCTTGTTTCACGAAGAAAATAAGTTATTACTTATTACTTATTTTAAAAAGGACTCTGCGAGTTTGAGGATAAACCAAAAGAAATAAATTAAGATGCATCGGCCGGGAATCGAACCCGGGCCGCCCGCGTGGCAGGCGAGCATTCTACCACTGAACCACCAATGCCCATATGCAACAACGCCATAATGTAGTTATATAAGCGCCTTTGCAAAAAATTGTGTGTAATACAACTTATACCGCTTATGGCAAAATTGCTTTAATATTGTTCAAAGATGTGCAGTATCCAGAAAGGTTTAGGAAACACCCATGTTTTATGTATAAGGCGCAATTTTTGAAATATTTTGTTAGGATTCAATACTTATTTTGACCCAAGGGCAGACCCCATTGCATCGGACCATTTTTACGACTACTCCTCTTACAATACGTTATTTTGGAACAAGAAAAAAAAACAAAAAATAAAGTAAGAAACCAAGTAAAAACATTATAGTCGGGTTATGCCGATTATTAAATATCCTGCACCACTTTGTCTAACACAATTCTTATTTTTGCCATAGAACAAAGAAATTATATGCTGTTTTCATACTTACTTATGGAACTGTATATTACCAAATTAGACTACTTAGTTTTCGTAGAAATGGTTGTGCCCGAGAGGTTCAACAACATATTATCTTTTCTGCCCTACGAAGGATTAATTTTCGTGAAAATATATATACAGAATGGGATCCAAACAATAGGCCGAGATGGTCCAAATTTGGTACAGATAATTTTTTTTCTTAAACTATTATTATGATCCGATTTTCGTCATGAATTAAATCTTTTTGTTATCTGAACTTCAGTTTTCGTTATGTGGGAAGGGGTTCGGAAATTGTCCCAGCCCGTTCAAAGTTTCCATACCAATTTAGATTGCTGAAATACTTTTACTTAGCCACTTTTTGAAATTTTGAAAACTGCAATTTTTTCCAAATAACGACTTTTTAAAATAGGACATTATATGCAGAGCGATCGAAAAAGTGGACTGATCCAAACAATTTTGAATTGTGTTCGTCCCTGGGTATATCCAAAATTAAAGCTTGTGACTTCCAATGGATGATATACGTCCTCACAATCTTAATATATCCTGTAATACAAGTGAAGTATAATTACATTTGGCAATAACTGAGTTTTTTATACTCACCAACTTTATCTTAAAAAGTTCAAAAAATTGGGAACCTAATTTTATTAAGTTTTAGTGTTAGGTAAGCGTGCTGATGTTCTCCTTTTTATAGCACAAATTTTTATCATACATCGAATGTATTCTGAGCAACGAGCAAGAAAGCAGCAAGTAAAGCAATTCTCACGGTACGAGTATTCTTTGATTAATTGAATTCGTCCAACTAGACCAATCTTCGTATATACACTTCGAAAGTTTCCGTCAAATTTATGGTCCATATATTCATTCATACCAGCATACATTACTCGTGCGGACAGACATACCTGCTAAAATCGATTCAGAGTTTCGATGGTGGATATAAAATTAGCATTTTTCAAATTTTCCGGGAAACATCATCAAGCGATAATATTTTGATATACGAGTTTGACATAAAAACTTGGATAGACCAAATTTTGGAACTGCTTCCGGTATAATCGTTTCTAGAACAACCTTTAGCAAGGCAAAAAGGTCTAAATTTTAATATTCTAGAATGATAACTTGTCTGTAATAATAACATAACTTAAATATTAACTGTATCAAATTCGGTAGGCTTCTTTTTTAGAGACCTCCCCAAACAAACGCTCCCTTGAAAAATATGCATTTTTATAGGAAGAAAATCTATTTTTTAATGCTTTTTGATGCAGCAATTTTATATAAAGATTAGCTATACCAAATTTAGTCTATTTTTGGACCCCTCTGCATATGGGGTTTTCTTGAAAAGTAACCTATTGTATGCAATAAAATCTAATCCTTAGTGCTTTATACCGAACACAGGTGAAGAAGAATACTATCTTATGCAAGAACATGATATTTGAACTACGCCATAGTATGCGTTCATTTGGAAACAAGGTGTAATATTGGTATTTTATCAGGAAAGCGAATGGAGAGTTTTATTAGACAAAATGGGGTAGGCTGCCAATTGTTCACCTTGTCTGATTGTAATGTTTTCACTTGTACTCTCTATGAACGGCAAAATTCTGCTACTTTTTCATCCGTTACCCATTTTCCAACAAAAAGAAAATATTGGTATACATATGTGTTTTTATGTGTATATATTCGAAAACCACGTTGTTTAAACAATTCAAACGAGCTGGCTTAGTTTTTGATTTGTTGCTAATTACTATAATGGCTGGAACATATTAATACATTCTATTGTGAATGTTATTCCAGCTACTTGCTAAAGATAAAATCTATTCTCTTATATTTCAAATCTCAAGTGCGGTAGAGTTTTTAATAAAGGCCGATAGCCTTAGATGCTAATGCTTTTAAGAGTTTAGTCTTAGAATTTATTTCTCTGGCGAAATTAATAATAATAATAATAATATTCTCTTATATAATTCAAATAATGTGAACATTTTTGGAACCTAAACTCTGAATTCCGCCATACGCACCTAAATTAAATCTCAATACGGTAGAATTTACTTTGGTCATAGTTATAGTAAATGAGGTATCCACCCGCCACCTATCTATTTCCCTTTCCTTGTTTCTTTCTGACAGTAACCTTGTTACGCATGTCCATCCTCTAACTAATTGGTCATATAATGAAAACCTTTAGCTAGCGCAAGATTTTCTTACATGGCTCTCTCGGAAACCTAGCTAAAATGTCATCCAAATCCGCCTGATATTTTTCCATGACAGCATAGATTAGATCGATCTGAAAGTGTTTTAAGCGCCACTATAGTTTTTTTCGTCATAGTTAATTGAACTTTCAACTCCTCTTGATGTATTATTTGTTGCCACTCAACTAAAAATTGGTAGTAAAAATTATTTTCCTAACTTGCGCCTGCATGGTTTCGAATGCGTCTAGGTACATAAAACGTGCAGCTCTTATTCGCGATGTCGCTGAAGTTTCAAAACATAGCCATATTTTCATAGTGTACGTGGCGTGAAACTTACCGTATGTCGCTTGGTGCCATAGTGATAATTCAGATGATGTGACTTAATACACCCACTGCGTTTATAATAAAAAAAAAAAAAATTGATTTAAACCATATACAATTTAACCAAATTTGCAAATGCAACAGGATATCCTTAGATTTCGGCTTCGCAAATTTGACTGAAGCAGTTGCGAATTGGTATCTATCTTTAAGTTTACCTGAGGGTCCATATCATACTGCACATAAGTTGCTTATTCCTTCAAATCCACAATATTCTTTGGAAAAACCAATACTTTCCTTATTAAAACCCGTTTATCAAATATGATATGCTTACAATAGTCCAACTGCCGATATTACTGCAGACATTATTAATTCAACATATTTTTAAAAATTTTGTAACACTAAGAGAACAATCTCCATATTTCCTTCATCGATGTCTACTAACTTTTTCGATGGTAATGACATCTTTAAACTCGATCCTCGAGTTAGGTCCTGACGGACTACATGTTAGGTCCTGGCGGATTATATGATGCAATTTCCAAATTTTTAGTTCCTCTTTGAAAATTAGCGTTTTACCATTATGTTGATTTAATTGAATCAGTACAGATAGAATTCTTGGGCCTCGTCACAATGGACACATTGCTGTGAGTTCTTCAACCCGTTTAAGGTTTTTTCCAAAAATTTAAATGAGAAGACTACAATTTAATCTTTATATCGGTTTTTCAACTTTAAAGTTGCGTGTGGTTAGCAAATTAAACTAGATATGATTACTATTATTGGTTGCTGAGATTGTGTACATTTATTATTTACATTAAGTTTTCATTCTCTTTGAAGAACAGAGATGTTCTCAGTTTACGTGGTGCTGTGGGCGTGTCCTTCGACCGATTTGGACCATTTTCAATACCACGCTGCGTGCAAGAACTTCCAATGTTTCTGCCACAAGTGCAGACGCTTCAGTTTTGCGGTCA